TACTGTTAAAATAATATGATCATCTAAAGAAATGTATAACCTTTTTATAAAATACGTACTTTGGTAACTTATACCTTAAATCAATTTTTCTCTATAGTTATTTTAATCGAGTGAAATAACTACAACGCGTGTATTTTAGATACGGYCCGGYGGACGGTGTGATTTTATGACGTCACGCGTTTTACGCGACTTATAAATAAACACCGTAGCAATCGTCCGACAAAAATTTTTTTTTTTTAGCCTGGGGGAACTGTAGGGGAAGGTACTGTAGGTTTTAAACACGTGGGTATTTTGGCAGAATTTTGAATGGGCACCCGTAGGTTTCGGCCGTGCCCGGTTGGGGGGGCGGCGGCCTCTCTCTTCAGACACCGCGAAATGCCCAAATAGCGATGCCGCCCGTGACCGAGATTCGAACCGGCGACTGCGTGCATGGGGCAACAGACGCCTTATAGTCCGCTCGGCCACTCCACCCCCACAAAAATTTTTCTTTTTTTAAGCACTACATTTTCACACAGTAAAAAAAAATTAGGATTAGTCCTATAGTCCTTAAAGGGTTTTAGTAGACTTTTGCYATACTTTATGTACGCAAACGAGTCCTATACGTTTTGGGTCATTTATCACAGGTATTAAACATKAGTGTGCTCAATCGAGTTATACATTTGTACGCAAAGAGTCGCAAAAAAGGATAAATGTACGCAAACGGGTATCGCCCATTTTTGGCTCTGGTACAGGGCCTCACTTAAACAACAATTATTAAACTTTACCTTCTGACTCACCCCTCCACCCTCTTTGAAGGGACCCTGTATACATGACAGAAACTTGCATAATATTTWGTTATCGGACGCAATTTACATTTACCGTCGCAAAGATTCGCCATCCGCACTTYGTATAAATCTGATACCTTCGTCGGTATATTTTTTACACGTGTAGGTGTAGTTGCACGGGGTATGACAATAGTTTCTATTTATTTTGTGGTGGACCTACTACAAACGGTGGCGAAGATCGATCGACTTTATTTAAATTTTTGTCCACCACCTACGCAGGTAATCGCACGAGGTATAATAATTATCTAGTCTTTTGCCGTGATAAAATAAGGCAATCAATGCTGCTCAACGTTATGACCAGGCCCGGATTGAATCGGCGAGCTACCGAGAAAATCTCGGTGGGCTGCGTAAAARTTTAAGATCAGTGWATTATATCAAACACTGATATAAACTAGAATAATTTAAAATAATAATATAATGTATTTTATTTTTATCTACATACAATATACGTCATATAATTATATAAATATATTATATATATAAAAGAAAATCAAATTTTAAACTTATAGTTATAAAAAATCGTCATACTACTCATACTTARGCCATGACTCATGAGTGATGACTGATGAGTATAAAATGAAATGTTTACAAATTGCATAAATCCAGGCGATCTATATTATATTTATACTATCTATTTTATCTATCTTATATTTTGCGTTTTTTTAAATAATATAACTGAAGTAGGTCTATATACTAAATAACTTAATGTAATGTACCTATTGAATAGGTAATTTGTAAATGTGCTTTAGAGAAACAATTATTATTTAGAGCACACATACTAAAAGGGTGATCATAAAAAATGTTTTTCGAATGGGCAGGTAGAAATATAAAATATCGGTGGGCCGAAAAGTCTCTATTCGGCGCTGGTTATGACAAATCTATTATTATTTATTATGTTCATGTTAAAGAGGATGTTTGCATACCCGCATGTGTTGTCTTGCAGGCGTGTAATATTGYGTAAACTGTTTAGCGCGGGATAGAACCCTTCAGTTTGTACTTTTAGTAGAAACACCAAAAGTTAACACAATATATACATTTATTTATAGATAATATTTTTATTTGTTTGATACCTCTAATAAGAAAACAGTTTTAATACTCTTTATTTTTTTTTTTCGAATGGACTATCCCATTATCATGATATAAGGATTATTTTTTATACTGTGGGGTTCACCAATTTTAAAATCGGTAAAATACGATTGAGAACGTTATATTTGGTAACACGATTGAGGACGCTCGATAGTATTTACCTATTTTTTTCTAACGTTGCCAAATGTAATCGAAAGATAATTTAAGCACGATAATCGGCTATCGAACGATAAAGAACGTTATACCTTTTTGGCTGAACGATAGATCTGCGGATCGATATTTAATATTTATCGGACGTTATATTTATAACTTAGGTACCAGATATACGAGAGAATGACTTAATAGGCATTGCAGTCGTCGCACAAACGTCAACGAAGTATTCGTCAGTTTATAAAATATTATATTATAATATATTAAAATTAGGTATACGAA